TGAATATTATCCATAAAGTCGGGGTGTTTAACCAATTACTTTAGAGGGACAGCTCAAGCTTTATTGTATATATATAATATTATAATATGGGTATACGAGTCCAATTTCTTAAGTTTGTCAAGAATAATCTGTTATAGTCTATGTGTTTTTTGAAAGTCAAGGAATCTCATCTTTAGAGTTCAATTTCCAAACAACTGACCTAAACTATATTTTCTTACTCGACTATTCCATCTATGAAGATCATTGTCATCACTGAAAGTCTTAAACAAAAAGTATAGAAATGTCATATGCAAAAGATGCCCCATGTTGTCCACACCTATGCACATCTAAATACCAAGCCTCTTTTCATTCTTTTATGAGAGGAGAAGGCTATATCGGTTCTTGTAAGGGAAATGTATAGTGTTCGGGCCTTTCGGGGTAAAGTCCTTGTTTTGTTACTTTGTCAAAGATCTGTAACTCTGAATCATTTACAGAGTTTTTTAATTCAGTTGATATTCAAAGAATTTCAAGTTATAAATTTGATTCAATGCTCAGCACAAATTCATTGAAATGTCCCCATAAAAATAAATATGGCAAAGTTCAAAAACAAGTTACAAAAAGAAATATGAGAAAGTTCAAAAACAAGTCCAATCAGGACGCTGCAAAATGGAATAAATCCTCATTGGGATGTTCCACTATTTCTAAAATGTCGAGGATTAGGGCCTTCATCTGTACTTACTTCCCATCTTTCAACCGTTTCACTTGCAGAGGCTCCTTTTGATGTACCCTCAGACGCACAAATTTCTACTCCGGGAGTGTCCTTGCTTTCATCGTAAAATTCCCGCTCTTTTCCGTTTGAACGAGTGTTATGTGGATGAGGTGTGTCCAACTCTTGTTAGTTAATGTGAATGAAATAAAAATGATGCGAAGTATGCAAGAATGCATAATGCATGAAATGTTCGAGGCATTAATCTAAAAATGTGTATGTTGTTATAAATAATCCTTATTGGGGACAAAAGTGTTACGTCTTTAAGAGACAAAAAACATTTTGATGGTATAGATCCCGAACAGCCTCTAACAAGTTGATTCGTCTTTCGTCACCGGTTGAATACCATGTCGAACCGTTATGGCTCCTTTGGCTAAACTGTGCAAGTGACAAGCTGCTTGCCCCAAAAAAGTCTCGAAGGACTGAATCTCCGACTTTCACTCTCTGCTGAGCCTGTTCCTAACGAAAGTGCCATTGGAGTCCTCCATCGATAGGAACTATCCGAAGCTTGCTTCTTGAATTTGGCAATAGTTGCTTGTTGCCTTTGAAAGAGTTCTCTAGGTCAATAACCTTTTCTCGTCTTGCCTCTGCAACTTTTTCCATCTCGTTTTGGAAATGTTAACTTTTGACGTTCTTGGTGTAAACCCGGTCCATTCCGAGTCTTTTCTGACCAGAGCTAGACTTCTGAGCTTTTCATCTCTTTGTATTATAACCCCTTTGTCCATTAATGCGAATTATTTACGTTTAACGAACATGTTTTTGGTGGATCAATACCTGTTTTGGATGAATGATGCAAAAGATGACAATAAAATAAAAGAAAACAAAAATGAAAAGAGTTAGTGAGGTAAAGATAAAAAAACAATCATGAAAATAAAAGTCCTACCCCACATGATATCTATCCGACATGCTTATTATTCCTAACCGGACATGATCTCTATCCCACATGTTAATCTTGAACCAGTCCTAACCACATAAATTTCTAGTTCACATGCTTTGAATAGAAAATAAAGCAGGAAATAATATTGAAACATCCTAGGGTTTGAAAAGAGGATTTGGGGTGGGCTCTAATTTCCTGTACTCTCCCAGTTTAGGTTCTAAAAACGGTACTCGGTTCTCCTTGCTGGTGCCCCCTTGGGCTTGCCAGACCCTTAGTCCTAAACCCATTACAGGCTCATGTGGACTAAGTTAAACTCGAGAGGATACATTCCCTTATCCCCGCACGGTGAATAAATTCACACAAAGACATAAGGTATATTTTACTTTACTATATTGTTCTTCATTATTGTTCTCTTTATTATTATAGTTATTATATATTATTATATGTTCTCTATATATATATATATATATATTTCTTAACATTTTATTTATATGCATATTCGTTTTATTTATTTACCTTTTTTTCTTTTATTTTTTATTATTAATTATTTATTTTTATCTTGCATTTATGTGTGTGTATATATATATATATATCATAACGCTTTTTATTTATTTTTACTATATTATATGTACTCATTACCTCACACTCATTTATTAGCTAGGGCCCCCTCACCCTTTTTTCTTCCCGTCATTTCTCTCTCACCAAACTTTTACTTTTTTTTACTTTATTATATTTATTATCCTTTTGTCTTTATTATTATTGCTGTTATATATATTTTATTATTATTGTTCTATATTTTACATATTTTTTTAATTTATTTTAATTTATTTTTTATTTTCTCTTCTTTATTACATTTGTTTTTATTTTACTTTCTTTATTTTATTTATTTTTTTCTGCTTTTTTATCTAACTCGTTTCTTCTCTTTTTAAGGGTACACTTTTAAACTTATCAGAGGTAAGTGATTCGAATCAATTTTTACCTTTTTAATTAAAATTACAATTTTCTTAATTAAAGACAATTGGAAATTACGTAGTACCGAAACGACAATTCAAGGATGCTAACTCTTCCTTGATTATAACCGACTCCTGAATCCGCCACATCTTTGGTAAGACGCAGTTCAGGTAAGGAATAAGGTATCCGATCAACCCATTTGCTTTAAAATAAATGATCGGTGGCGACTCAATTCGTTTAATACAAGTCGAAGTCCAATTTAGAGCCCAACTGAAAGACGACCGCGACAATGGTCATGGCATTGTACATGGAACTCGATGAAGAATGCAATGTGTCCTGTAATGAAATGGCGATGATCGTCAGTTTAAAAATAAAGTGACACTTACAAGAAAGTGATTTTGAAAAGCATGGACACAAAGATTATAACAATGAAGTAAACAACAATCATGCGGTGAAAACACCGCTGATTTCATTCTCTAACAGGGACATATGTACATTATAGGTGGGAGGGGAAATTGTCCCTCCCAACTTTGATGTTTAAATACACTTTAGGTTACAGAGTTATAAAATCATTATAATTAAGCCCTTGCCCCTCCTAAATTGGTTTTAGGACATTGTAACTTTCAAAATTAATGGAATTAAGCCTTTAACCCAAATTTATGTGATTCAATTACTTTTATGACCTTTAAATTTAAATTTAGTGAAACTAAACCCTTCAACTCTTAATTTTTAAGGTTTAATTATTTTTTAGGATCCTATTTATTTTAAAATTAAACAATTTACCCTTATAATACAATCCTAACTCCGTCGTCCCTAGCCTCGAATGACGGTAAACCCTAAACTACCTTCACTACTTCTATTGGAAAAAACTCAAATACTCAACAAGATCAACTCAAGTCAAATTCCACTTCCAAATCCAAGAGAGCTATGATTCAAATGGATCGGATCAAAACTCTAGAGTGTAGAATGGAGAGAAAAAGAAAAAACAAAGATAAAGTTTTTTTAGATTTTAATTTTTTAGAATTATAGATAAAATATTATAAATATTATAAAAATTAATATTTTGTTTAAAATTTAGAGGCTAATTTAAATTTTTTTTTAAGGTTTCATACATTAATGTAGTGGGAGTTAATGGTTGGAAAATTATTTTATGATAAATCGTTAACGTAAGTGATTAAAATATAAATTTTAAAAATTAAATAATTAAAATAAAAATAAAATAAAATGATCATTAGTATAATTTACAAACAGAGCTCATTAAAAAGCGTTTTTGAGGCGAAAAACACTTTTAGAACTAAAAGTAATGCTAAATCGGTAAATTTTAAAGAGAAACGATATGTTCGAAAAGTGTTTTTCAACTCAAACGCGAATATTGACACTTTTAGTTTTGCACTTGAAAAAAACGTTTTCAGAGTCAAATTATAGATTTTGCCTTCCTTTGTGATTATTTTATGGTGTGTTTATTTTATAATTTAAGATGATATAATTTACCTCATACACTAATAAAGAATTTAAAATTCATTTGAGCAAGTATATTTGACTTGTTGATCATGTTTCTAATTTTTTATTATTCGCTCCTATTCTTTTAGGTCATGAGTTCTTGATCCACTAAGATATATATTTAATTATAATATAATGTCTAAAATGATTATTTATCTTTTAAAAATATTTAACATCAATATTCGTCAATAATTCTCATAAATATTTTTAAAAAATACTTTTCGAAAACATTTTCCACGTTACTTTTTTAAAAACGTTATTAGTAGAAACGGACGTAAGATCTTATGTTAGATTCGATCTTTTAAAATTTTAAAAAGAAAGAACTTATAAAATTTTAAGAGTAAAAATAAATTATCAACCGAAAATAAAAAATATATAATAATTTATAATTTTTACAGAGACAACTGCACTCTCGACCCATTCGGTCCTGGTTACTAGTATGTTCCACAATATAATCCCTTGGTTGTGCGTCTCTTCTAGCATCCTGTAATCCAATAGCTTGTGATTGGAATATATATTATCATACACATGGGCGTATCATCTTCTGGGACTTTTATGATGCTTTGATTCTAATTGTCGAAGATGACACATGGTAAGCACATGGCTTGCCAACTCATTCACATGCAAAATTACTTCTCTCTTTTTTTTTCCTTTACTTAAATAATGTTAACTTATCAACATAAAATTTGAACCACACCCCCCAATACATGCAACATACAAAGAAATTAACATGCAAAATTATTTGCATGTGTAATGTGCATGCATGATCTGCAACATTTCTGATTAGTAAACAATTAATATGCCATTGATCATTAATATTCGCTAATCTCCATCGCACATTGTTTCGAATTAAAAAAAATAGAAAACAATAGCATAGATTATAGAGTTTATATAACCACACCCCAATACCTGCAACATACAAAGTAATTGAAAATGAAAGTAGCTGCTTGGAGAAGCTCTTCTCAACATTCTTTCTTTCAAATCTTGGTATGTTCACTAACCATTCTTCTCTTTCTCACGTTAGACGTTCCAACTGTGTCTGCAAGCAAAACAATCAACAGATCTGCTGGTGTCAAAGCCTACAAAAGTTACATCAAGAAAGCCTGTGATTCAGCCACATACCCCAAAGAATGCTATCAATCTCTCTCCAAATATGCCCACGCCATTAAAACCGATCCGGAGAAGCTCTACAGGGTTTCCTTGTTCGTCACTATAAAAGCTGCTCGTAGAACTTCATCCTCCATTTCATCTCTGTGGAGACTGAGAGGTTTGAGTCCCACAGACCGAGCCATCGTCCGTGATTGTGGTTTGACAGTGAGTGATGCCATTGACCATATGAAGCAATCCTTGACGGTGATGGCCAATCTAGAAGGAGCGGATGGTAAGTCTGAGTTATTAGGAGACATAAGAAAGTGGATTAGTGCTGCGTTGACAGATACGAGCACATGCACGGATGAGTTTGATGGCCAGAAAGTGGGCTACGCGGTGAATAAGAATATCAAGAAGACTGTGTTGAATCTTTCCAAGATGACTAGCAATTGTATGGCTCTTCTCAATACTCTGCCAATTAATTACTAGCAAATTACAGGAACCACTACATGTGTTTAGTGATTTGTGAATACGATTTGTTCTTATTGTCCAATGAAACTGACATTTTCTTGCATTTCTGATACAAAATGAAAATGTTTCTTGTAAGATGTCATACCAAAGAAGTGTATTGATCATGCTGATCCTTGTTTAATTCCACCATTATTTTTCTTTTCAAATCGAACGCCGCCCTCTTTGGGTTCTCATGTGCCAATAGTTCTTTTCCTTTTTCTTTTCAAGAACATAGAAGAATATATCTGTCTTTTTTAATGCATAATGCCAAAATTAACTCCAACGTTTATCAAGATGGTTATTTTTTCTCTAATTCTATTTTTGAGAGCATTTTGACCCCTCCATTTCATTTTCGAGAAAAAAAGAGCCCTAACATTTGACAGAATAATCACTTTGTCTCTTATTCTTTTTTCTAAGGAATTTTAAACCTCAACTGATGTATGGGTAATGTACCTTCAATTGATTGTAGATCTAGGAAGGAAGCAAATTACCCTACAAGTAAGAGACTGGCTCAAACATAGTGGCTTGGTAGTTGCTGTAGGTGAATATGGTAGGCTATTTTGATGGTAATGAAGATTTGGTTAAGTGTTGGAAGTGTGGTGGTTTATGACAGAATGGCTATAGTGTTGAGATAGTATCTTTAGAAAGACTCTAAGGAGAACCAATGCTAAAGAGCAGAGACCCTTCCTCAATATGCTTTCAAAAGTGGTGGTGAAAAAGACTTGGACTCTCTAGATAGTAATCTAGGAACCACAAGTATCAAATGGAAAAGGATGGACGCCACAAGTATTGAAATACTTTATAAGTTGATAAAAGTGACAAAGAACTTTAGAAAAGTGAGGAAGCTCACTTAAATTAATTATCAAATTGTGTGTTTACAAAGAAAATGACTTAGCCTATTTATAAGCTTTGAAGGGGCCAACCGAATGGTTATAAGAGATTTCGGCCAGCCTTGTATCCCTTTGAGAGTCATAATTTAATTAATTACATGCATGAATAAAAGGTGTGATGTTTCGGCTAGATGGGAGAGATATAACCCTTTGCCGAATGATGCTTGAACCTCGTCAAATTGACGCCTAAGTGAAGTAACATGAGCTTTGGCCGAATGGTGAGGGCCTTTGATGTTTGGCGCGCCTAGAGAGTCCACACGCATGGATCATGCTTGCTGGTCATATGATATGCACATGGGGCTCTAGGATGTTTATGGTGAGGCCTTGAACATTTGATGAGTTGTGGGCAGCATAGGCGTGAGGTAGTCTTCTTCCAAGCTTGTTTAGGTGTGAAGCTAGCTTAATCAAATAGGGGGTTGGTTTGTGAGTGAGCTTTATAGCCGTGATCTTCTAAGCTCCTTAGCATTACTTTCAGCTACTTTCAGCTGCCCATGTTGTCACCTTCAGCAACTTAGCTTCAAACAGTCCACCTAGTTGACTTTAGCTAGTCCTTAGCTCCTCCAGCTGAAATGAGCACTCCATTGCTTTCCATAAGCTGCCATATACATTGTGAGCTAGTTGTGAGCTGCCATAGGGTGCCAATCAATCCACCAAGCTGCCATAATGTGTGTCATTCCTTTATGTACCTACATGTGCAAAGAAAACAAGGTAAATCAAAGTGATTGAGCTGGAATGAATGCAAATGCATGTTGCCATGTGTGAATACATGTTTGTGAGCTAAAGAATGATATCATGAGCTAAGTTTAAGATGGTATTATATTAGGGAGCTAAAATATATTACTTGTGAGCTGAATTGAATTGAATTGAGCTAGGAAATGAAGGATTAACATGTTGACATAGTATGAATGTAATGAATTCAATCTAAATAAATGTAAAATTAATATGAATCAATAACATACTTAATAATGAGCTGAAATAACATCATGCATCAAGTAACATAAAGATGTGATTAAAAATAAACTAGTTACTTAATTCATAAAATACATAATTAGTAATATAAACATGAATTCTTCACCATATGTTAAAAGATGGATTATGAAGGTAAAGATGATCAGAATAATATAAAAGAATATAAAGTTTAAGAGGTCTCCCTTGAGTGCTAAGGAAAGGATGGTTGTAAATGGTGAGAACAAGCTTGCATCATTAACATTTCATTTTAGGGTAAAAAATAGTCTTACTTTGGAGCATTAATCGTGTTAACTAATAGTTTTCATCTATAGAGAGAGTTTTTTTTGCCCCAAAGTGAAATGTCAAGGGACAAAATGCTCATAAAAAATAGGGACCAAAATTACTATTTTAATAAACATTGGGGACTACTTTTGTTATTATTTTTTTGTAAGCAGACTAAAGATTTGATATTGTAATTAACTATAATAAATTCTAAAGATTCCATATTTCTAAACATAAATTAAATGCACATGACATGCTCCAATCTCGTTAACATGCCTGATAAGTGAGTTTTCCATAATTAAGTACTTTAGTTGATGTCTAATGTTACATACTATTATTATTGTTTTCAATATTATTACATACTATTATTAATGTATAAGTTTTAATTAATTTATAATTCTTTTTCTTTAAGACATGAATCTCTCTCCAAATTATACTGTTTTTTCACTTTCACTTTTTACTTTCTATATTAAATCAAATTTTGAAGTATCATCTATTAAATAAGTGAATCCATCTTTCGTAAAAAAATAGTAACAAAATATTTCGACGATTTATTATTTTAGCAATAGAACAACCTTCTATATGTAGATAGCTTTGCTAGGTCTCATGTATTATTATTATTATGAAGTGATTCTGTTTCCTTTTGCATAGTAATTATCATAACTTATCTCAGTAGTTAAAGAAATCGTTGTTATTCCTAGAGGTTATGGGTTCGAGTACCAGAGATTGTAAGGGTGATTGAGCATTCATTATCAAATGGTTGAGAATACTTAAAACAAATACTACTTTATAATCACCTTTAGCTTAGTAAAAAAATATTTTCAGTCACATTTAAAGCATAAGCAACTAAATTAACATTTGCTTATCTTTGTGGATGTCTAAGTTTTTGTCTAGTGTATCTATAGAAATAGAACGTTCTAGAGCTGGTTGTGGTGAAGAAGCAGCTCCACTCTGGATTTCTAAAATAGACTGAGGAGTAGAATCTGATGGATTAACTTGGAGCTTCACTTGTATATTAAATCTATACTAATCTTTATTAGTAAAATCTTTAAGAGCAGCATAATTGTTTCACCAAAGATAACATCTCTACTAATCACAACTTTTCTCTTAGCCAGACACCATAACTAATATCTCTTAACATTAATTTTATATCCAAGAAAAACACATTTAATGGATCTCAACTCTAATTTACAATTATCAACATAAGCACATGTCTGATCGGGACGGTCTGACCCGAATTTCCGATGTTACATTAATCATTGAAGTGACCCGATTAAATCCACTACTTAAAATTTCATTTGACCCATACTTACAATCAAAATAAATCACTTCATACAGAAGAAGATCACACCAATATTTTCAATTAATTGCAAACTCGAACAAAGATCTGATTAAATCAGGTTACATGCTTTAAAGGTATTGTTTACATCTTCTCAAAACATCAAACGAAAGCATACAGAAATTTCAATTTCAATTTTAGCGTCTGTGTCTAGAAATGAATCCCACTTTATTAACTTGTATCAATGAATTTATCCTGCATCGCAGGTGGCTTCAACCGACATTGAGCTCGTCATGAGGATGTACAGTATTATTCATGTTCTTGTAATTGCAATTTCCTATTGTTACAAAACTCATCTCCATATGTCATTTCAAATACGTCCTACACCAATGGATCCATAATATCTAAAGTAAATAATGAACATGTATCATTTGGATATTTTATGGCATCATAAATATTAAATTTAATAAGTTCACCATTAAGTTCCATGGTAAGGGTATCATTATGCACATTAATTATAGTTTTTGTTGTTTTTAAAATGGCTACTATTAGCTCGATCGACCAACCGAAAATCATCAAGAGGGGGTAAAGTAGCTTTACAAAAATTTGGTGGAAGCTTGAACAAAAAATAAAACTTTTGACACAATAGATTTAGAGTGGTTTGGTTTTCTCAATCAAAGTGTACATACAATACATTATCTTTCCACCACTAAGGATTTTCCAATTCAATAACTTGAATTGAACCTTTCAAAGATAAGGTTTAATCTTTACAACAATATCTTGTCAAAGTAAACCTCCCCAACCTTTTACAATGGCCAAGATAGATTCACTCTAGTTTTTCTAATGAAAAGCATCTCCCTTTAACAATATTTGATTTATGTAAACAAGGGATACCTCTCTAGGCGGGTGTTTACAAAATTAAGCTCACAAAGAATGAAATAAAAAGATATACAATAAAGCTCAATACATTGTGTGTAAGAGAAAAAAATGAAAGAATAAAGATTGAAACATTTTTTCTCTTAATCTTTAAGCTTGGATAAATGTAGTAACCTTCTTCAAGTATTCTTGAGGTGCTTATATGGTGAGAAATGAGTTTGTAGTCATTTATAGTCATCGCGGATGAATTATAGCCATTTGGAGACCTTTTCCCAAGCATTAAAAAGTATTTTGGAGCTAAAGTTTCGAAAGTTTAGTCACTAATAGAATTGGCGCAAGTCATCATTATCAATTAGTCACTAGTACAATGTTCGAATTGGAGCCAACTTATATTTTACGAAAAAATTATAATAGTGACAATATATTAAGTAGTCACTATTATTATTCATAATTGTGACGAAAACATTTTGTCACTAGTCTTAGTTGGTGATTTGTGACGATAATTGTTTTTGTCAGTAGTCTTAGTTGGTGATTTGTGATGAAATTATTTTTGTCACTATTGAAGTGAATAGTTGTGTCATACTTCTATTTGGTCACTAATAAAATGTTGGAATTGACATCAATTTTTAACAGGAAACGATGTAATAGTTATAACATATTAAGTGATCACTATTATTATTCATAATTGTTACAATAACATTTTTTTTCACTAGTAAGTATACCATTTTACCATTTTACAATGGTATATTTGTGACAGTCTTAAATTATGTCACAAGAATAATTGGTTTTACTGACAAATTGATAGTGACTATTAGTAATTTTATCACAAA